GAAAGCGGAGTTAGTTTTGGGATCTGAGCTCTCGCGATATTTCATGGTACTTGGGCAAATGACAAATCCGAAGGCGTCGCGTTGATTGTGATGGCGCAGCCGACGTTCCTCGTGTGTAGCAGCCCTTCCTTCCGTTTTACACACCCTCTTAAACTACCTATGTCTCTGCCCTCCTCCTTTCCTTCCGCCTTTACCTAGTCGGCCGTCACCAATTTCTCTTCCACTGCATTCTCGGTTCCGCTCAACATGCACCTCCTATATACTCCACTCGGTTTAGGGTAGAAACCTAGAAATTATTGCCACCTGCTCCTCCTCTGCCATCTCTCCTATAGATCCTGCAAATCTCTCCCTTTTCTCCACTATAATGGTGGTGTGGTGATGATGTTGATGATGGCAATGATAAAGATAGTTCATTTGTATGTCTGGGTATATATATTATCTGTATTGGGATTTTAGGTTAAAAGGACGTAAACATTATGTTTGTCCTTGGTAGAGGCATTGCCATTTAAAAACTGCTGTTTTCACTTTGTTATGCAGGAAACTAACCTTCAGGTCATCTTTAGAGCCGCTGTCCTTCCTCTGGGATGAACCCTTAGAGGGGCCACTTTCCTTTGTATGGATGTAAGGCAAGTACCACGCACCTACCATTCTGATAGAAGAGTATGGAGGAGCATGTATTACCTTGGCAAGTACCCGTGTCTTCGATGTGTTGGTGGATGAAGTGGAGCGATGCCCATGTGCTAATTACATCTGCATTGCTACACAGGAGCCTTCTGGGAGGAAGGAGAGCTGAATGTAGACTCTTTTCTTTAGAGGTTCAAATGTATTAGACCATATCTAATGGATGGGGAGGGTCTGACAGGCCAGCTGGCGGGTAAACATAACATGAGTCCCTGTTGTGATAGAATCAGAAAACTAGACTGGCCTCAGGCAGGCATCTGTTCCTAATTCAAACCCGTGTAATACCCTTCTCTCCCTCCCCACAGCTGGGCTCATCTTCTATCATCAGGTCATGAAATAGGTGAGCTAGCTCTGTGCACTCTGGTTTTTTCTTCCTTTCTGGAATACTAGTTCTGAAAGCATCTTTTTTGTTGCTGTTGTAGGTTATGATTTAATTCTACCTTTTTGGTGTGACCAGGAACAGGGGCAAGAGTCCACCTCTACAATCTCATAGGAAGAACAATCAGGAGAATTATATACATCTACAGTGGGCACAGGACTTAGGCCAGATCTTCCTGGAAAGTGGTCAGAAAGACTTAGATTAAGCCACGAGAGTTAGGCCAATCTGATGGTTTGCCCTTTCAAAGATGGCAAAATACTGTTCGATGAAGAGGTAGCCCAGGATCCAGAACTCTTCTGGGTGGTAGAGATGTTCATGCCCTGGAAGCTGCTGGTGCCCCCCTGCTGGCTTTTTACTGGTTTTATGAAGGATATTAAAAATGGACTGAGCATGGTGGCTCACACCTGTAATTCCAGCACTTTGGGAAGCTGAGACAGGTGGATCACTTGAGGTCAGGAGTTCAAGCCCAGCCTGGCCAACATGGGTGAAACCCAGTCTCTACTAAAAATACAAAAATTAACCGGGTGCAGTGGCAGGTCCCTGTAATCCCACCTACTTGGGAGGCTGAGGCAGGATAATCTCTTGAATCCAGGAGGCAGAGGTTGTAGTGAGCCGAGATTGCATCACTACACTCCAGCCTTGGCAACACAGCAAGACAAAAAAAAAAAAAATACTAAAAAGGATACAGATGAACAGTCAGTTGGAAGAGAGGTGTGGGAGAAGGTACAGGGGATGGGACTTGGAGCTTCAATGCCCTTTCCTGGTGGGGCCACCCTCCAGAAACCTCCACATATTCAGCTATCTACAACTTCTGAAAGCATCTTTAAACAGCATTACTAACTTTTTTCTAAAAATTGTGATACAATATACATAACAAATTTTCCCATCTTCACCGTTTTAAGTGTACAATTCAGTGGCATTAAGTACCTTCACACTGCTGTGCAACCGTCATCACCGCCCATCTCCAAAACTTTGTATCTTCCAAAACTAAAACACTGTACCATTAAACAATAACTCCCCATTCCCCCTTCCCTTCAGCTCCTGGCAACCACCGTTCTACTTTTTGTCCCTATAAATTCAGCTACTCTACGTAGCTCATATAAGTGGAATCATGCAGTGTTTTGTCTTTTTGTGGCTGGCTGCTTTCACTTATAACATCTTCAGGGTTTATCCATGCTGCAGCATGTCTCAGCACTTCATTCCTTTTTATGGCTCAGTAATATTCCATTGTTTGGCTACACTACATTTTGTTTCTCTGTCATTAACACTTGCTTTACCTACACCTTTTAGCTGTTGTGAATAATGCTGTGAACAAATATCTTAAACAGCATTCGGATCTTGTTAGACCATTTTTCACTTTAAGAAGAGATTAAAACAACCTAATGGTGTGAGGGAGGCAGGAAACTCTGAGATACTGAGACAAGACTCCAGGGTCTTTAACTAATTGAATTGGTTTTTTAAAACAGCGTAAGATTTCCCCCCAGATACCCCAGTGTGCACTCCTCCCTTAGTGTGTGGGCCACTTGGTAGGGCCTAAAGAAGTCTCAGTTTACCTTGAATTTTCCCAAGGAGTCTCTGATTCTCTGTGGCCACTTAACAGAATGTGGGAAAGGCTGTTGTCTTTACTGTCCTGGAATATTAGAATCAGGAGAACCATCATAATTCACTTAATCATTCAGAAAATATTTACTAAATGCCTATTATGTACGAGTGTGTAAGTATGTGTCAGGTCGGAGACTGAAAAAACATCCCAGCCCTTCTGATACTTGTAATTCCACTGAGGATTGTAGATTTGGACACGAGTGGAGCTATCTACCAAGGACGGTTATATTACCTTTGGTTTTTCCTTATATTCTTTCCTTTGGAGGCTTAAAAGTAGTTTTTGGGTGGATAAAATAAAATTTAAGAGTTAATTATTTTTAAGTTCGATTGTAAGAGATGTTTATAGTTGCTATTTTCTAGGCCTAATTATAAAAATGATTGCATAGATAATGAAATTGAGGCATAGAGAGGTTAGGTAACTTGCCAAGCCACCTGAGCTAAGAACGTTAAGGCAGATGCTCTTTTTTTGGTTTTTTTTTGTTTTTTTTGTGGTGGAGTCTCGCTTTGTCACCCAGGCTGGAGCGCAGTGGCGCCATCTCGGCTCACTGCAAGCTCCGCCTCCCGGGTTCTCGCCATTCTCCTGCCTCAGCCTCCTGAGTAGCTGGGACTACAGGCGCCCGCCACCTTGCCAGGCTAATTTTTTTGAATTTTTTGGTAGAGACAGGGTTTTACCGTGTTAGCCAGGATGTTCTTGATCTCCTGACCTCGTGATCCGCCCGCCTCAGCCTAAGGCAGATGCTCTGAATCCTCTCTCCCTGTTGTCTTCTGGAGGAGTGATGGCTCAGGATAAAGGCCTGACTGTTGTTACGGAATTCTTACTTATAAAATGTATCAATTGATTAATGTATGGATTTCATGCCATTCTAATGAATACTTCAATATATATAATACTCCTATATATTATATAAATATATATTTGTAATAAATATATAAATATATATTTAGGTTATATATAGGTTAAATATAAATATATATTTATAAATATATTTATTAATACATAATATATACTGTAATATAGAAATATATATTTAATATATTATATATGAATAAACATTTTATAAATATATAGCATATAGTATATTACTCAAAATAAATATATATTAAATATATGTATTATATAATCTATTAATATATGGTCTATATAAATATATATTTTTATATTATATTCATAAATATATATTAAATATATATCCTTGTCTATATTTAATAAGGATATATATTTACCCAATTGTGCCACTTTGAGGAATTTTTCCAAGGAAATACCAAAATAGATATATATTTTAATCTGTATATATTCTTATATATTTAATAAATATATATTTATATTAAATATTCATATATTTATTAATATATATAAGGATGAGTGGATGGAAGAGAGGTAGAAGCTCCCTCATAGAAAACCATGAATTTTATTTTATTTTTTGAGACAGAGTCTGGCTGTATCACCCAGGCCGGATTTAATGGCTGGATCACAGCTCACGAACCTCAGCCTCTCAGGTGCAAGCAATCCTCCTATCTCAGCCTCCAGAGTAGCTGGGACTGTAGGCCAGCGCCACCACACCTGGCTAATTTTTTGTATTTTTTGTAGAGGTGGAGTCTCATCTTGCCATATTGCTCAGGCTGGTCTTAAACTCCTTGAGCTCAAGAGATCCTCCTGCCTCAGCCTCCCAAATTGCTGGGATTACAAGTGTGAGCTACCACACCCCATGGAATTTTTGAAAACAAAAAAATACTGAATGGTCTTACCCTACCAGATCTTAATATTTCATACATTATAGAGCCATAGGGATTGAGCTCATGTGGTACTGGCACCAAAATCAACAGACAGGTACGTGAAATAGAATAGATCCACCAGATAGAAACTCCAGTGCGGTTAGAATTTGGTTGTGTATTAAAGGAAGCATAAAAATTGTTGAACAAGTGGTAATGGAACAACTGGGTAAAGATTTTGGAAAACTTTAAAAATTATATCTTCATCTCTTACCACATATCAAATTTTAGATGAAGAGTTAAATACTAACAAAGGCTTAAAAAACAGAAGAAAATAAAAATGAATATATTTTTAATTTTTATTGTTTTATTTTATTTTTATTTTTTGAGATGGGGTCTCACTCTGTCACCTATGGTGGAATGCAGTGGTGCGATCTCGGCTCACCGCAGTCTCTGCCTCCTGGGCTCCAGGTGATTCTACCTCAACCTCCTAAGGTGATTCTACCTCAGCCTTCTAAGTAGCTGGTTCTACAGGTGTGGGCTACCACACCCTGGTAATTTTTGTATTTTTTGTAGAGACGGGATTTCACCATGTTGCCCAGGCTGGTCTTGAACTCCTGAGCTCAAGCATTTTGCCTGCTTTGGCCTCCCAAAGTGCTAGGATTACCGATGTGAGTCACCATGCCTAGCTGAATCTATTTTTTACACTTTTAAATCTTAGTAGACAATTTTCAGACTGTCCAACAACATTAGATGTGTTCAACCTCACTAGTTTCCAAGAAAATGCAAATTAAAATAATGAGATCTATTTAAGCTAGAAAATTAGCAAAGGTTAAAAAAAACTTAGCATTGTCAGAGGTGTGAGGAAATAGGTAATTTCATAGTCGAGTGATAAGAATATAAACTGGCATAACTTGTCTGCAAAGCAATTTGGCAAGTCTTTTCAAAGTTTGTAACTATTGACCCAATTATGCCACTTTGAGGAATCTATTCCAAGGAAATACTGAGAAACTCTAAAATTTATATAAAAGGTCATTCATCATTGGCTTATATATAATAACAAATAAATAACAAGAGAGGAGAGTTCAATGAATTAAGAAATCAAGTTATAATCCTAAATTTAAAAATCTGATGGGTTTCTCATTTTAAAATGTATATATATTTACAGATACAGGTGTAGGTATAGATTAGATAGATAGGATAGATAGATAGATAGATAGATAGATAGATAGATAGATAGATAGATTAAAAAGGACGAGAAGGGAATACCCTCAAATATTAAGAGTGGAGATGAGCGAGCAGATTACTGGTTTTTCTTATGGTCGTTAAAATTTTCCAATTTCTCTATATTATTAGATTCACATATGTGTTGAAGTTGATTTAAAAATAGTAACCTGTTCTCGTCTTTTTATATTTGTATTGTTTCACCCAAAGTATTTGAAAAATCTGTTTTTCAAGGGGCATATAGGAAGGGTTCATTCCTGGTCCCCATCAGTATCTTTTGCTTATCCTTGGGGACAGGCACAGGCCAAACCCCGACCAAAGCAGCAAGAAATTAAGAATTCAGGGATGCTTGCTTCATTCATATTTAGTACCAAGCCATTCACTCTTCCCTTTGTCTTCATTTTTCTGGCTTCTGTGTATGCCATCACGTAAACTGTCCTTTTGGTGTCTAATCTGTACCTAATACAGGAATGACTATTTCCTTAACTTCTGTGTTTTCTGAGAGGACTAATTAATTATTCCTTTTCATTATTTTATAACTGGTAAGTTACAGAACTAACTTGACTGCAGCCCCTGGTGCCACACAGTAAGAATGTTTACTTGGTGTGTGCTTGTTCTGAGCTGGCCTAGGCTGAGTCACTGGCATCCTTGGGCCTGAACACCCACCCCAATGCACTCCCCTGGTGCCTCATCATGGGCCTTCCACGTGAGAGCTGGATATGGCTCAAAAGAACCAGACTTCTTGGGCTATGAGAGGGAACTACAAAGAGGAAGAAAGTGAGAATAAAGGAAAAGAACCTGTGGAAGGAGAGCGAAAGGCACGGGGACACATTGGCCACATGCGCGCGCACACACACACATGGGGACACACGCACCACATGCACACACACACACACAACACACACACACACAAATATGCATTTCAACCCAGGCTCTGAAATTGTGTGATGGATAGTGGGTGAAACCTCTGTTCTCATTACACATCTGCCTTCATTAAAGGCCACCAGCGGAATGGCAATCCTTTTGGTTTACCAGTTTGGTCATAGAGTGTGGATGGCCTTAGCACTTCTGGAAGCAGCCACAGGTCCCATGCCTGTGAGCCTCCCATGGAGCTATGTGCTGTGCACCGTACCGAACACAAGATGGCAGTATTACTACATCTGCGTTCCTACACCCACCCATCCTCGGTTCCCACACACAGGGCCTGATGCAAACTGGACACACACACACACAGAGCTGTCCCTCAAATAAAATAATGACACTTTGCCTATCATCAAGTGGGACCTGTGTTTGAGACTGAGTTTGCCTCCTTCGTGGGGGTCAAAGGCAGGACAGGCTATGTGATTTGTAGGGCCCAGTGCAAAAGGAAAATGTAGGGCCTCTTGTTCAAAAAGCAGGGAAAAAAGTGCTGTTAAAGGTAGTGAATTATGAAGCCTTTTCCTTTCTTTCCTGGACTCTTGACTTGTTATAGGATTTTTTAATTTGCTATTAATGTTCTAAGTCAAGACAAACAAAATCATTAAATGTACTTTTAAATCATTAGCATCAATTTTACCACTCACAGTCATATTGAGGAATGCCAGTTCACAGTGCAAATGTAAGAGCATTTAACTCATAGGCAGAATCAGTGAAGTTATACAATTTTTATTTTGTTGCTTGTATATGCCTAGGTGTTTTGTTCTTACCCGAACAGTGAAAATATTGCATAAAACTAACTCAGTTGCTTTTATTTTACTTCTTGATCCATGCACATTCTACCAGCACCTTCTGCCTTTGGCTTACTCATGAGTAAGAGAGGACTGAAAGGAAAAGGAACTGTTGTCCCTTTAGAATGTCAATGCTTTCATGTATAGGAAGCAAGTGCTAGTGGCCTCTTGGGGCTGCCAGTGTCCCAGCTGACTCAGTCATCGACATAGTACTCTTACCTTGGACTCACTTTGAGTCCCATTCATCTCCCATGTATCATGGGGCCACCAGAATTCCATGTGGATGGGGCATCATACAAAGGGAGCAGCAAGGAACGATGGGTGCATGTGTCCCCTCTGCTCATGCAGATGTTCCATTGTCCCATTGGACCTCACTTACAGACACAAATTCAAAAACATAGTGATTCAGAATTTCAAGATAGTGACAGTAAAGCATTAAACCAAGCACAGGGCTCTCCTGAATGCATGGGGATACATGCACAGACACACACAAACACACAAGAACGGCAGGGGCTGTGTGACACACGAGTGACATGCCTGCAAAGCCAGCCCAGGTCACAGGCTCTCATGATCTCAGTCACTTGCATTTTCCCAGTCCACACTTATATCTCCAATGAGTGTTTTCGCCAGGGGCCAGAGCTCCTTCAACCCCACATGTACCAGTCTGAGCTAGTGAGCATCCATTCCTTCAGCAAACATTTATTGAGCATTCCTGTTACGTGTCAGATACTGTTCTAGGAGCTGGGGATGCAGCAGGGTACACAGTCCCTGCCCTCATGGAGCTTACACTGTAGTGGAGAAGGGGGAAGAGCAATTCGCAAATCAATAAATATGTGTCAAATGGAGACATGCTATGAAGAGAAAAGCAGAGTAAAAAGAGCATTATGGTAGCCGATATTGTTACCTAATGTGGTCAGAGAAGGGCTCTCTGATGAGCCGGCATTTGAACAGAGACCTTAAGGGTGTGAGGGAGTGAGCTAGGAGGTTCTGGGGGAAGGACCTCCAGGCAAAAGGAATGGCAGCTATGAAGGCTGTGAGTGGGTGTGCATGGTGTGTCTGAGGGGGAACAGGGAGGCAGCAGCTGGAGCCAAGTGAGTGAGAGGAAGAAGGTAGGTGAGGTCAAAACCGTGGGGGCACAGGGGGAGCCCATGTAAGGCCTTGCATTCCCACATAAACTTCAGTAAAAACTGTCTCCGCTAGATTGCCTCCTCTCTTCTAAAGGCCTTATATCTTGATGAATGGCCTCGTTGGGAATGGGAGTCACCTTTGGCTCCTTTTCTCTCATGTCTTTAGCCCGACTTCTTGCTCCAGCTACTGCCTGGCTGACCACTTCCAGGCAGGGTGCTACCAGCTTAGTCCAGCTGCAGTGACACGTACCTTGGGTTCACACCAGGAACCTCTCATGTCTTGCCCTGGGGCTTCTCTGGTGTTGGTGTGGACACCGGAGGAGCCAGGAGCCTGTTCAGCTCTCATGTGTGCATAGCTTCAAGTGCAGGGGGAGTGATGCCCGTGGGGACGCCCTGAACCCATGGAGATGGAAGCCTGGGGATAACACATTTCATAAGGCTCCTCGGAAGGCTTTAGCGAGACATCAAGCTCCAGTCAACCGCAGCAGTGGCTAACTTAGTAGTCACTTAGTGGCATCCTTGTTTCTCTTTTTCATTCGTTCTTGTTGCACTGCCCTGATCCCTCACTCTTGCTCCCAAATAAACAAATTGCACACACACCTCTGTCCTGGATTCTCCTTTCGTGGGTGGCAGGAATGAATCAGGCTCAGATAAAAAATATCCCTTCCCACTGATCATCCAAATCTTGTTGATTCTACTTCAAATTGTTTCTTTAATTTTTCCCATTCCTGCTCCTACTCCCCTGGTTCAGACCCTCTTCATCTCTTCTCTGTACTAGGACCAACTGGACTCCTACCTGCTCTTTTGCCTCTTCCCCACCCCACCACTTTTTTTTTTTTTTTAAACTTAACCCATCATCTCTCCCACAAAAGCATTCATCCTTTTCTGCTGCCAGAGTGAAGTTTCTAAGACACTACAGCTACTCATTTCTGGTACCTCCTTATCACCTACAAAATAAAGTTTAAACCCCTTAACATGATGTTATGATCGCTGTCCATGCCTGCAGCATCGTGATTTTCCATCTCTGCCCAGAAACACCTCTGACCACCTTGGATTGTTCATCTGTCGTTTCCCCTTCAGTGGTTCTTCCTCTCGAAGCCTTTCTTTCTGCCAACCTTTCCATTCAGTCCCCTTTAGTTTATCAAATGCTTAAATGAACATAGGCACGTACCAGTTCCTGTCACCCGAGGAGGTGAAGAGCAGGTGATAAGATAGAGGAAGGTAGTATTGCAGAATATGTCGCATGTCAACACAGTCCCATGTAAATGTTTTAGTTGGTTTGCCCCAGTTTAGGGACCTGAATGTACTTTTTCATCAGGCTAGAATCACTGCAGGGGTTTTGGTAAGGAGAAAGGACATTTTTCTTTTGCAGAACTTGAGATCATGTGGAAAAATAAGGCCCTAAGTGGGGGGTAAATTTATGGAAAGTCATCTTTACATTAATCTTTAAAGCTGATGTCTAAATAAAGACAATGCGATTGAGATTTTGCACATTTTAAATTACTAGTAGTGGATAAAGCACTCAATTTTCACTTACCATTCCTGCTTCAAAAAAAGAAGTGTTAAATTTTCTTCCCAGCAGATTCAAGGAGATGCTTGCTTATTTGTTTTGATTTGTTGCAGATAATATGCTTGCAGAGAGGTTTTCCTTTTCTGAGTCTCATTTTCCATCCACATATTCAATGTCTTCTTGGCTTGCACTTAGGATTGTTGATTTTCCACCCCTCTAGTTCTGCCTGCTGGGCCACTGGCTACAGTGTGCAGGTTGGGATCATAGGACTGTGACTGGCCAAGGGGGCACATGGTTCTGATGCTCAGCCCATGAGGTTTGCCAGGTTGGGCTCCCTGGCTTGTGGCTGCATTACATTTTTATAATTCTGTCGTGATTCAGAGATGTTAAGTAAGTTGGTGCTTGAGATAGAAAGGCTTAGGATAATCTTATTTAACCAACGAGGCACAGCTCAACAGGTAATTGTCAGCCCTTCTACCCATCTCCCAGGGTTTATCGCCTCAGGCATGGCCCTGGTATCTGTGTGCAGAAACAAACCTGTCAACTCTTCTTTCCAATCTTAGCAACCTCCTTCCCCTCAGACCAGTTCCCAGTGCTAAGGACCTGGTTACCCTTCCTCCTTGTGATTCCTGCAGCTACAATAACAAATTGTCACGAAACATATCCTCTCACATTTCTGGAGGTCAGAAGTCCAAAGCCAGGCTATCAGCAGGGCTGCACTCCCTCCAGTGGCTCTAGCAGAGAACCCTGTCTTGCCTCTTCCTCCTCCAGCCTCTGGTGACAGTTGATGTTCCTTCACTTGTGGCAGCAGCATCCAGTCTGTGCTTCTGTCCTCACCTAGCCTGCTTTCTTGTGTGTGACTCTGTGTTCTTTCCTGTCTCTCAGTAGAACTTTCTCATTTAGGGCCCATCCTAATCCAGCATGATCATATTTCAATCTTTACCTTCATCATGTTTTGACAACCTGATTTTCAAATGAGGTCACATTCTGAGGCTGTGACGTGACATGACTTTGGAGTGGACACCATCACACTCATCTGCTTTAACTTTATCAAGACTTCAATGCAAGCACATCTACTTCTTACACCCCCTGTTTTACCTCCTTTTCCTATTTTCAACTCCCTGTTCCTCTTTTCCTCATTTACCCCTTTAAGAATGACTTATAATTTGTGTGCACAAGATTTGACTATTCTGCATTTCCGAAGAGATGTACAAAGGTAAGCACATATTTATTAGAATTTCGTATAGAATTAGAGGGAAGTCAAAGTCAGGAAAGGAGGGACTGATCTATTCATATACAATTATTTTAGTATTATATTTGTATTAATTTCCTCAACCCATTTGAAAGTTCCCTAAGGAAATGTGTGGTTTTCAACTTAATATGCAAGTTCCTAGCAGAGTGTCTGGTATGTAGTAGGTGCTCATAAATTAGAATGAGATGAGTCAACTTCTTACCTTTGACTGTGTCCTAACCAAACATTGCCAAATAAATGGGAAAGGACTGGACTGGCACAAAATTCTCTCTTCATTGCTCACGGACTTGCCCCTCAAGTCCAGCCTCTATGGATACAACCTGCTAGTCTAGTGCTGTAGAAGAAAGTGCACTTTGATCTCACTTTTCTCAGGAATGGCAAAGACCACACTTACAGTGATGATGGGGATAATTTTTTCTGTCTTCCAGAGGAGAGGAACAAGAGCATCCTCAAGAATACAATAGGGGGCGTGAAGGGCTTTCATGAGCCTCTCTAAAACACAGCTGTGGCTGGGCGTGGTGGCTCATGCCTGTAATCCCAGCACTGTGGGAGGCCGAGGCGGGTGGATCACTTGAGGTCAGTCAGGAGTTCAAGACCAGCCTGGCCAACATGGTGAAACCCTGTCTCTACTAAAAATACAAAAACAAAAATTAGCATTATACAAAAATCACACATACCTGTAGTACTAGCTACTTGAGAGGCTGAGGCAGGAGAATCACTTGAACCAGGGAGGCAGAGGTTGCAGTGAGCTGAGATTGCGCCACTGTACTCCAGCCTGGGCGACAGAGTGAGACTTTGTCTCAAAAAAATAAATAAATAAAAATAAATAAATAAAACACAGTTGTAAAACATATGTCTTGTCTCTCTAGTAAGAAAGGCAAATCCAGAGGCCAGAAGTGAAGCCCGGCCTCTGTGTTTCTAACATCAAGGATGCTGCCCTGCCCAGGACCAACACCCGGCAAACTTTGGATGATGTCTGTAAGGTGATGTTCACCAACATCTTCAACAGTGGGCTGAAAGCCTAGCAGACATGCTCACTGTCAGTCCTCTGGAAGGCCCAAGAGAGCCCTTGCCTGCTACCTGAATAGATGAGGACCTCCAGGGCTACCTGGCCTTTGTGGATTCCAGACCTCCTGTATCAGCCGAGCTCCAGGAGAGCCCCAGCAGCGCTCTCTTTTCCTGCTGCCTCAGTGCTCAAGACAATGGTCTTTTTGAGTGTCCAGCTGATTCTGTTCCTCACTTCTGCCTCTCCCATTGTGTGGATGCCTCTCATCCCTTGCCTGAGGTAAGCCTACACTTACTCTGAGGTTTTGAATCTGACTCAGTGACCTTCAAGGCTCTCCCTCCCAGCTGCCTGTGGCCCAGGCCGAAACACAGTGTTTCATGTGGTTTCAGGGATGAGGTCACACCCATTTTCTTTGCAATATGCTTAACAAATTTTCATTTGGGGAAAATAAAGAGTTGTTAGGAAAGCAGCCTTTTCTTTCACATCATTTCTCCTTATTCTCTTTTCTTTTTCCTCTTCCTGGTTTCTCTAAATTCCAACCCCATCTAATGAAAAGGGAAACTTACTAATAGCAATTTAGCTTAAATGCATTGCTTTTAGTAGCCATGGGGACAAAAATATCAAAGAGCCATAAGTTAATAGGATTCAAGGGTAGAAAACTTCTGCAAAGCTACAGGGCGCATCCTGATAATACCAGCACAAAGCTGATGTCCCTTTTCTGCAGAGGATACACAGTGCAGGCGAGCCTGCAGGTCACCCGGCAGCCGTAGAGCAGTAGAAGTGTGTACCATGTTATTACGTCTGTAGTCTATGCTGGGGCCTGGGAAGGGCCAGAGACAGCATGCTCTGTTTATATTCCACATTTGCCAAAAAGACCCTCACCACAGCTTTCTCCCAGGGCCTGATCTAGAAAACCCAGAGATCCTTAAGTTCCACCCATCCATTGCCTTCCGGCTAACTGCTGTTAGAGTAAGAAAAATGTCCCTGAATGTGTCTGGTCTCCTGCTGGGAGTATCAGTTATCAGTCAAACCAGGTGAATTAGCATTTTGTCCCGATTTACTTTAGAAAAGGAAATGAAAACTATCTCTAGATGCATTTTTGTATCCTTTGCTTTGTGCTGTCATAAAGAGCTAAAATAATTTTTCTGTGTTATTCACTAATTGTTTCCTGTTTTGTCTCTGAGGGTGAAATTCATGCCATAACACTTTCTTTCTGGGGTTTCTCACAGCACACAGCACAAGCCTTAGGCACACAGTAGACATTCAGCATTCATTAAACCCCTTTTTGATCAAATGATTAAGTTACAGGATTGAGTTCTACGTGCTGGACCTCTGCTTTCAGTATTCCATTTGGGTTTCTTTTTTTTTCCCCCTCCCTTGGATATAATTCATAGTGAACTGATACCCTTGGTGTCTTTGTTCTACATGAAGAGGAGAAGAGAGGAAAAAAATATGATGGTAACTACCTATATCAATTTCCATATGACACAAGCCGCAGGGTTATGTTTTAATGTTCATTAGAATCCTGTACAGCACTGAGAAATCTAGTGTTGATACATGAAGAAGACAAACTATCGTGAATGCATTTACTCCTCTCATAGAACTACAGATCAATACTTTGTTAATATTGACTTCCTTCTGTATTAGTCCATTCTCACGCTGCTATAAAGGACTGCCCGAGACTGGGTAATTATAAAGGAAAGGGCTTTAATTGACTCATAGTACTGCAGGGCTGGGGAGGCCTCAGGAAACTTACAATCATGGTAGAAGGGGAAGCAAACACGTCCTTCTTCACATGATGGCAAGAAGGAGAAGTGCTGAGCAAAAGGGGGAAAAGCCCCTTATAAAATCATCAGATCATGAGAACTCACTCACTATCATGAAAACAACATGAGGGTAACCACCCCTGTGATTCAATTACCTCCCACCGGGTCACTCTCATGACACATGGGGATTATGGGAACTACAGTTCAAAATGAGATTTGGGTGGGGACACAGCCAAACCATATTACCTTCTATTACAGGGAGTGCTAATTTGTCTCTCCCTCTAGAAATGTAAACTCCATAAGGGCAGGGATGATGATGAAGAGTCTATGCTATTTTGTTCAATTCTGTATCCGCAGTTCATAGAACAATCCCTAGCACGTGGTATGCACACTCAATAAATATTTGTGGAAAGACTGAATAGGATTTATGTTATGTGTGGTATAATCTTACAGATTATGGTAATCAGCAAAGTAGAAATTAGACTCATCTCATATGTCTGAAATCTGTCCTTGGGGTTTGACATCAGACTGTGACTCCCACTTGGGTTTGAGCTGGGATTCTGTACAAAACCTCAGCCCCATGCTTTAGGTAACCACAGGGTCTGCTTCTGGAAGAGAAGAAGTGTTTCAGTAATGAAGGGAAATGGTGACCCATAGGAAAAGTTGATGTAATGGAGATGAGGGAACAGACCCACACGTGGATACTTCCCTACTGAATACATTTGTGTATGTGGATGTCCATAGCTACCACAGAGGCCTTTTACAGTATCCTCTTTCTCCCCTTTGCCTCACGTAGTTATTCTTTACCCCTCTATAGTAATAGTTTGAGTTTTGATTCATGTTGATTTTATTTATTGACAGAGTCTCACTGTGTCACCCAAGCTGAAGTGCAATGGCATGATCACGGCTCACTGCAGCTTCAATCTCCTTAGGCTCAGGTGATCTTCCCACCTCAGTCTCCCAAGTAGATGGGACATACCTGGCTAACTTTTCTATATTTTTTTGTAGAGACAGGGTTTCCCCATGTTGCCCAGGCTGGTCTTGAACCCCTGGGCTCAAGTCATCTGTCTACCTCAGCCTCCCAAAGTGCTGGGATTGCAGGTGTGAGTCACTGTGCCTGGCCCATGTTGATTTTAATACTTAGAAAGAATCAAAGAAGATTGATACTAGTCACTGTTAATGTTGTTTTTTGGGTTACTACATCTTAGTCATCTTCGTTTCCTGTGAGAACATTTTGACCTCTCAGATATAAACATGGGTTTGTTAACCTTGCAGTACACTGAGGCTGAAAGATCATCAGCTCTATTTTTCAGATGGTGAGACCAAAGCTCAAACACTTACCTGGAGCCAAGACAGCCTATTCGGCTATTATGGTCTTTTATCCTGGTACCCAGGCCTTCTTGACCTCTTATTGCCAGAATGCAGTAGGATTTTGACTTGTCCCTACTATTTGATGCAGAAAAGGATGAGTCCCATGGTTCTAACAGTATCTTTTTTTATGCTGTACATTTATTATCACTGGAATAAAAGCCTGGGCAAAGGAGACCAACTATAAAGCTCTTTGAATTTAGGACTTGTCCGTCCCTACAGGGAAACAGAGGGCGTTAGAGAAAAATGAACTGGTGGAGATTATGCGGCCTCAAAAGGTTTTTAAATAATGAGCGATCTCTGGTCTATACATTAGAGTGTAAATTCCAGATGCTTGAATTTTCAAGTTTTCAGTCCTGAGGGTGGGATGTAGTACAAGTTACAGACTCTGGAGCCAGACTGTGTTGGCTCCACCATCTGCTTGCCCTGGGACCTTGAGCAAGTTACACGACCCCTCTGTGTGTAAGAGTCTAAATCTGCAATACTCCCCACCTCACTGGGCTGCTGTGGGGATTAAAGGACTTAGCACAATTCATACTTAAAACACTTAGAATAGCAACTGGCACACAGTGCGCATTCAACAAATGCTCTACGATGAGCATAACGATGGTGATTTCCCATTCTAACTTGGGGCAACAAGTATACTTTTCTCTCATTTTGTCTCATGTCATAAAATGGCCATTTCTATAACTTTTTGACATTCAGATTGCTGGATTTTACCCCCAAATGAAGCTCTTTGGATATTTCCAGCAAAGAAAAAGAAGAGGAACAAGACTTAGGAAGAAAGCAGAGGAGTGTTCACAGACATAGTAGAAAAAATAATTAATTCTTTTTTTTTTTTTTTTTTTTTTTTTTTTTTTGAGGCAGAGTCTTCACTCTGTCGCCCAGGCTGGAGTGCAGTGGCACCATCTCAGCTCACTGCAAGCTCCGCTCCCGGGTTCGTGCCATTCTCCTGCCTCAGCCTCCCGAGTAGCTGGGACTACAGGCGCCCGCCACCGTGCCCGGCTAATTTTTTGTATTTTAGTAGAGACGGGGTTTCACCGTGTTAGCCAGGATGGTCTCGATCTCCTGACCTCGTGATCCGCCTGCCTCGGCCTCCCAAAGTGCAGGGATTACAGACGTGAGCCACCGGCGCCCGGCCAATAATTAATTCTTGAATTCACTCAAGAATTAGGATTTGCCTTTATTAAGTATCTACCATATGCAAAATATTGTGCAGGGATGTGAAGGGTGCATATCACACATGTGTACATGTGTGTGCATGCAAGTACACAATATTGTTCCTGCCCTCCAAGAACCTATACCCATCTTCTCCAGGAAGCCTTCCTCGGGACTCCAGGCAAGGTTAGGATTGCTCCTCTGTTTGCTCCTAGCACCCTGCACTCACCTCTGGCACTCATATATTATTAGGCTTTGTAATCACCTGCTGTCTAGAAACCAATGAGCTTCACGAGCTTATGAATCATGTCTTCTTAGCTTTTGTAGCACCCAGCAGTAGTTTGCTGGACAGGGCAGGACTGGACAGAGCTAGCAGAGGTTGTCTCTGGTATGGATCTTCCTCTTCTTCCATTGGCTTTGGTGCTACACCTTTAGCTTTAGACCTACCTTACTTTTAGGACTAATTGTTATCCTTGAACCCTTCTTGCTTCCTCTTCACCTATGACCTTCTTTCTTTGCCTCTTTGATCCCACTGGAGACACTAAGCCTCACCGCCAAGGCAAGAGAAATAAAGGGTCTGTCTTCTTCCACTGGGAAGGAAGTGTAGAGGGCTCAGCTCACTGACAGCTTCTTGAGCTTCAGGACATCAAGGCTGTGCAGGCTCTGGCTTTTGCATCCCTGGAGGTGGTCTCTCTCTTTAAGATTTCTCTGCCTATTCACTCACCTTCCACTAGTAAGAGAAACCCAGTATGGAGTGAAACTGGGGGCTATAGGGGGAAGGTTGGCCAAAGCTTTGATCAAAGAACTTTCCCATCAGCTGTGTTTACCTTGCTCCTTCTTCCCCGTCTCCCCAGCCAGGTTCTCAAGCACAGACTTCTCAGGCCAGCCATTCCTGGTGCAGCAGATGGATCCACTCATTCCCTCAGTTGAGTCTCTGCAGCTTCTGGCTTCTGTCAGTGGTTGGAACTTTAGAACTGTTTGAAAGCA